TGAATGTTTGTGTTTCCTAGTGTGTGGGAAGAACCACACTACACATTTAAAGCACACCCAGCACACATTTAAACCAAAAGAAACCTAGGAACTCACAGAGATACAATTCCCAGTACCCTTAACAAACTAACATATATATATATATATATTATTATTTCACCAGTTTCTATAGGAACTCAGTTAGGACTAAAGCTGACTCTGTAGCTACAAGTTCATTTGAATTTCTATCAAGGTAAAAGTACTTAGAACACGCTGGCCACAGCGTATTCCAAAAGAAATACTAAATCATAACCGAATGGTAAAAGCTCGCACCTGCATGTGCCCAGTTGCTGAAATCAATTTATTTGTGTGCGCTTCCTAAATCTGTACTTATTTAGGCATATGCTTCCTAAACTTGTACAATGTGGTCTTATGATGCACCAAGGAACTGAAACCTTGCTGACAACTGTTGTCATCACCTGTGTTGACTTGACGTTGAAAATGGCTCCACTGGTAGCATGGGTGGGAGAGAACAGCACTACACATCATTACCGAAAACACTATTGACATTTGGTTCTCAAATATTTCTGTTGCATGTATTCCAGACAGGGCAAGAATGTATTCACAGCATTTACACTAACAGCTAAACCTTTTAATAAAACCAATTTGAAGTAACTCATTACTGAAAACAGTTGCCAAAATGGACTTTGCTGCCTCGTGGAGATGAGGCTTAAGCTAACATTTCCAGTAAGGAAGGCCAGAATTCCCCATTTCCATGCAAGTGAAGAAATGCTGATGCCTGGGAACTTTGCGAAACGCAATGCCGCTACAGAAGGACATAGCCGATGGAAAATGTTGTTTGGATGAAATTAGCCCTTTAAGCATTTCTGCTGCATCTACACATACATTACTGCTACTTATACATATTCTTTTGTTTTTAAGCAGTTAAATCAATTTTTATTACATGAGAAAGTCACTTTTCAGACGATTGAAAATTTATATTATATTATATTATATTATATTATATTATATTATATGTGTGTGTATTTAGAAAGAAAACAGTGAGAATGCCAACAGTTGTCAGCTCAATACATCATGCTACTTATACATATCCATACCCTCCAAGTGCCCCAATTTGCCATGGAAAATGCCAGAATTCTGAAATAAAATTGGGATTAATGGGTTTCCTCAGGATGGTGGAGAATGTGTGTACTGTGCCCTGTTGGTGTGTGGTGGTGGAAATGCTCTGTAGGGGGTGGTCGCGGGGGACAGAAAATAGGGGGTTGAGGAGGGTCAGTTGGAGTGGAGTGAGAAATGTCCCTATTTTCATCTGAGGAATGTTGGAGGCTATGCATACAAAGCCAGGAGGACGCTTCCCTTCTGCCCTGTAACAATAGTCCATTTGCTCCTGTTGTTGCTGCTGTTTAGTCATTTAGTCGTGTCCCACTCTTTGTGACCCCAATTTGCTCCTAGTGCTAGCAATTCCCAAACCCCTATGCTACAGCCACCGGCCTGTTTTGAATGTACAGTGGTACCTCGGGTAAAGAACTTAATTCGTTCTGGAGGTCCGTTCTTAACCTGAAACTGTTCTTAACCTGAGGTACCACTTTAGCTAATGGGGCCTCCCGCTGCCACCGCGCGATTTCTGTTCTCATCCTGAAGCAAAGTTCTTAACCCGAGGTACTATTTCTGGGTTAGTGGAGTCTGTAACCTGAAGCGTCTGTAACCCGAGGCAGCACTGTATTGCTAATTCATAGTTTAGTATTACATACATGAGCCTGCTCCCTATGGGCTGAGCCATGAGCAGGGCCAGCTAGAGACACTTTGGCACCTGAGGCAAAACACAAAATGGGAAGTAGGGGTGAGTGGAAGATCTACATCAGAAACAAGGGTAGGGAGAGACCAGCAGTGCCTCCTGTTCATCAAGAGGCCGCTGTAGAGAAGCATTGTGGGAAGCTTATGAGGAGGTGGCAGATCCAGTCTCCAAGCACTGCAGCTATTGCTGCCTCCTTGTCAGCAGCAGTGGGTGATGTATTCCCTGGAGGTCAGATCTACTGCCTCTGTGGATCCTGTTGCCTGAGGCAGTGGCCTCACCTTCCCTCATGGCTAGGTTGGCCATGCTCAGGTTCTGTGGGAAACTGTTAGTGTAGGAAACAGTTAGTGGTCAGGACTGAAGTCAGAACCAGGAGGGATGGTTGAGAAGCAATTTGAAAGTCCAGAATTCGAGAACATGGGAACATGCCAGAGGCCAGGAAGACCGTGTTCAAGCAAGGCTCATCTGGAACAAGAAGCATTTTTACGATCTTTCTGATGGCCTGGATGGGTGGGGTAAATCCAAAGTCTGAATGTACGTCTCTGAGAAACTGCCACCTGCATTTCAATGACCCAGGAGACTGCACACAAATCCAGCAACATCCAGCAATTCCCCCCTTCCTTTCCTCTGGGTATGGTCGTGAGCAGGAGATCGGAAGCATCTGCTTTCACCCTTGTCAGAACTGGAAACTGTGGTTAGTTTAGTCAGTGGCGTAGCGTGGGGGGTGCAGGGGGGGCCGGCCGCACCGGGCGCAACATCTGGGGGGCGCGCGCTCGCACTCGCAGCTCTCTGCCCCTACCTGGCTCCACGGGTTAGGGGGAGCAAATTACTTGCCTTGCCCCGGGTGCTGACAACCCACGCTACGCCACTGAGTTTAGTTACGGTTTATCTCAACCATTCAGAATCAGAAAGCTTGGGTTGATCTTGGCTTGTTTGTTGAAAGCATAGTTGGACAAACCATTGGACTAAACAACAGAGTTAGTTGAAAATGGAATGTTTCTATTCTCCCCATCATAGCTGCTCCAGAAGAGGGGGCAGGAGGTGGAAAATGTCTGAGCATCAGGGTTGTTCACATAGCACTCAGCTGAGCAAACACAGGGATGAGGAGAGACTTCCTACCAAGGACTGTCCTTGCAGGGGAAAGACTATTTGCCCATTTAATCTTATTAACTCTGTACAGTGGTACCTCGGGTTAAGTACTTAATTTGTTCTGCAGGTCTGTTCTTAACCTGAAACTGTTCTTACCCTGAAGCACCACTTTAGCTAATGGGGTCTCCTGCTGCTGCCGCGCCGCCGGAGCACGATTTCTGTTCTCATCCTGAAGCAAAGTTCTTAACCTGAAGCACTATTTCTGGGTTAGCGGAGTCTGTAACCTGAAGCCTATGTAACCTGAAGCGTATGTAACCTGAGGTACCACTGTATAAGGGGAAAGGTGAATCTAGCATCAAGGGACAGAGCACATATCCATTAAACACAGATCATTTCATATCAATGCCATTTATGATATAGGTAAGTGCTATTGTGAGAGAGCAGGACCTTTTCCGTGATCACACTATTTTCTTGTAAAGAGCTACATGAGCGCTTATCCATTAGAAAGAAAAATAAAAATAAGAACCCAAAGTTAAAAGCATTTGATATGGCAGGGTCTTGCAGATGGAGGTGAGAACCACAATTAACCAGCAATCTCCAAATGCAGTGTGTGTGTGTATCCTGAGCAGTTATCGTTGAACTGGAGGAGGGATGAAGTTGTCATCCCCTATAATCACAGGGGGTGAACTATTTCCTCACAACAAAGATTCACATCAACATATGAGACTGCTTTAAATTGAGAAGCTTTGGCCCACTTAACCTAATAAGATTAACTGGCAGTGACTCTCCAAAGTATTAACCTTTCCAGCTTTACTATCTGAGATTCTTTTCATTACTTCAGGCAAAGGATAGAATCAGCCCCTTGATCAATTGTCCTGAACCCATGGATACCTGGTGGTAAGTCAATATTTCAAGTCCCCAGTCCAGGGTCAACCCACATGTCCAAAGTCCAAAACCAAAGCACAGTCCCACAGAGATCCTGGAGTAACCAAGCTGATGTCCATCAACAGGGGCAAGTTGAGCAGACATAGCATCTCATCCCTGCTGTCCTTTTGTATTTTGCATCTGAACTTGATGAGGCATGTGACCCTCACCTGTTCCAAGCCTATTCCAGCTAAGGAGGCATGGCCAAACTTGGCCCTCCAGCTGTTTTAGGACAATTCCCATCATCCCTGACCACTGGTCCTGTTAGCTAGGGATGATGGGAGTTGTAGTCCAAAAACAGCTGGAGGGCCAAGTTTGGCCATGCCTGATCTAAGGAACCACACCCCTCTTCTCAGAGCTAGTGAGCCTCACCTGGCCAGCTTGGGAGCTGGGCTATGGGCCCTTGCCTGCCTCAGCCTCCTGGAGCAACCCTCCCACTGCTCCCTACACCATGTTTGTGGGAACAGAGCCCTCTCTAGCTCTGGTGATGGGTCCTGCTTCTCTGGTTCCTGTGCACTGACCATCATCCCCTCGTCATCCTCCATCACCCTGTGAGTACTTCGTACACCAACCTCTCCTTCCCCAACCCCAGCTTGCCCAGGTCCTGCCTACACCCCTCACCGGGATCCTCTTCCTCTTCCTCCTCCTCTTCCTCCCAGTTGTCCTTCCAGTTCATGACATCAATGCAGGACATCCAGAGTTAGAGCACCCCCAAACTGATGGCTTTCTAGCACCTCCTTGAAGATCCCCAATGAGGGGAGCCCACCAGGCCTCTAGCCAATGGGTTCCAGTATTCAACTGCTCTTCTCATTAAGAGGTCTCACCTCATGTTCATCTGAAAATGCCATCCTGTATCTTAAGTCCTGCTCTCAAGGCTCACAGAGAAACAAGTCTTTGCTCTCTTCTGTGCAACAGTCTGTCAAGTATTTGAAGAGTGCTATCAGGTCTCTCATCAGTCTTCTCTTCCCCAGGTTTAACATATCCCATCCCTTCAATCTTTTCTCATAGGACATATATCGCATATGGTTGAAGAAGGATATAGACAAACTGATTCAGAGGTTGGCAGAGCAGATGATGGTTGACCATCTTCTTTGCTAACTTCTGAATCAGTTTGTCTGTACCTATCTTCAGTGCAGAACCAGAACTTTAGTACGAAACAAAATAAAAAAATTCCTTCCAGTAGCACCTTAGAGACCGACTAAGTTTGTTATTGGTATGAGCTTTTGTGTGCATTCACACTTCTTCAGATACACTGCAACAGAGGTTACCAGACCTGTAGGTTTACCACACCTATCAGTCAATCACCCATTCCCACCACCCTTCTGACTAATACCCCTCCTCACCTTCTCACTATATATAAGGGTCTGGTGACTTCTGTTTCAGTGTATCTGAAGAAGTGTGCAAGCACATGAAAGTTCATACCAGTAACAAACTTAGTTGGTCTCTAAGGTGCTACTGGAAGGATTTATTAAATTTTGTTTTGACTACGACAGACCAACACGGCTACCTACCTGTAACTAGAACTTTAGTACTTGAGTCAACTAAATAGTTGTGCTAGCGAGAGCCAGTGCAGAGTCCCAGTAGTACCCTGTTCTTCCACCACATGCCCCTGCCCCTCAACTGGCTTGGGATGCATGTGGAAGATTCGCCAGAACAGCACATAGTGGAGTAGAGGGGGGATTGTTCTATCAGGCAAACAGGATCTATTTCCATGACACTGAATTCAACCCACAGACTGAACCAACCATTTTTACACATTCTACAGAGAAAGCTCCCACGATTCAGGCCTGTGTCGAGATAATGCCAAAATAATTCAGATTTGGCCTCAAGGAAATCCAAATTGCACATTCAAAATAAATTACACAAGCTAAGTACATTGGCATGCCTCCACTGGTTACAATTTACAATTATGATTTATCTGGCTTACAATACGAAAGATGTCTGAAACCTACTAACAGAACAGCAGAATACATGAAGGGAATGGAGAAAGGAAAAGATGTGGTGAATAGTTACAGGTGGACACACACAAAAAGAACAGCAGTCATCGCAGTTCAGCGGAATGGTAGTTTTATGCAACTGAAGATTCACCAGTTCTGTCCCAAATGTGCACAATTCCGTTGTGTGAAACTGTAATGTATCCTTAAGAGTACAGCAAACTCATGCAAATGTGAATGCACTTGTTCCTCAGTGAGCCCTAAATCCTAAACCCTAAACTGTCTTGGTCAACTAGGATTTGGACTAGGAACCTCCTGGCTTGCATGCAGATGGTTTTCGTGGTGTTCAGTGCAAGGCTGCAGATAGAAGGACATAGAAAGCACCATTCATATCAAGTGAATGAGGAAGTTGCTGCCCGTGCCAACCTATGTGCTCATTGGATTATCTAAGTCCCACAGAACTTGCAACCGACCCAGGGTGCCATCCTAGGCAACTGGCAGAAGCATAACCCACAACAACTAGCATGCGGCAGAGTTTGACTCAGTGAGTCACATTGCTTAGCCCTGGACTATCCCAGGCATAGGATCACAGGGAACTGCCTTACTCTAAGTCAGACCATTGGTTCATCTAGCTCATCATTGTCTTCACAATGTTCCATGATGCTGGAGCTATGTACTGCTTAATACCAAGAACACCTGATAGGCTGGAGAAAAGTAACAGAGCTCAGGGTCACAGAAGGAAGAGAAAAGTGATGATCCCACCCACCCACTTTGGATCTGGCCCTGGTCCACATTGGCTTTAGCCCCACCCAGTGTTTGCAACCCCCTCCCCACAATATTTCTTCCGAGGCAATGCAGCATTGACAGAAAAAAATGTTCTTCACCTGGTTCATGCAGTGGTCTAATAGCTGTCCACCACCAATACAGTGGTACCTCGGGTTTATACGCTTCAGCTCACAGACTCCGCTAACCCAGAAATAATGCTTCAGGTTAAGAACTTTGTTTCAGGATAAGAACAGAAATCGTGCTCCGGCGGCGCAGCAGCAGCAGGAGGCCCCATTAGCTAAAGTGGTGCTTCAGGTTAAGAACAGTTTCAGGTTAAGAACGGACCTCCGGAACGAATTAAGTACTTAACCCGAGGTACCACTGTACTGTTTTACCATGGAATCCCATGGGTATCTTCCTAGAGTTCAATGGGGCTTACTCCTAGATAAGTATGTGTCAGACTGCAGCCTTAATGTGCAGGGAGTAATACATTTTCTGCCCATATTAAGCAAACAGGGGCATGGGATATGAGGGGCATTATTACCCAGACCTTTCATCTGCCTTTAAACGCCGGTGTTATGGTCTGAAGCTTCTTCCAGCAATTCAGCTAATGCTATATGATATACTAACACTTTATCAATCCAGTATACATCACTGATTAGGAGTCTTGCATGTATTTCCTGTGTGGCTCCAGTTTATATATGCTATGCTATATTGGTTTTGTAGTGGTTTCACATAAAAAGTTGATATGGAACAACTTTCTGCCCTTTGAAAGAATTCACACGGAGTCCTGAATCAAAACTTCAAGCTGCATTAGAGGCAATATTATCTCTATGACAATTGTTCCTTCCCTTAAAACGACTGGGATATATGATCACAAAACATTTTCTTATTTCTAGTTAGTGTGCATCTGACAGTTGATGCTTCTTGATTGATACATTTGGTAACTTCATGCCCAGACATTCTCATTTCAAGTATCCCTACATCACAAAATTCTCTGGGACCAAGCCCAAGAGAGATACGGCTGATATAAACCAGTGTATTCACCTAAGGGAGATGTGGTTTTCAGCTGGGTGCTGATTTTTGCCTATTGATCACGAAGGTAATGAGAAGATTTAGGCACATTTCTTGATTTTGTAGCCTTTGCAAAACACACAAGTCAATCCCTTCCAAGCGTCATTCGTATAAACAGATACTTCAGCATATCGTTTGCATCTTTACAAAGGAAACCTTAGAAAGCAAAGTTTTGCTTCAGAGCTTGCATACAGAATAGTTAAAAGACACAGCCGGCATGCAATCATCCACTTACTGCGACTTTTTCCATCCCAGTTACACTGTTCGAATCTTCAGTGCAGAAAGCTTCACTACTGAGCAGTGGCATTTTGTTTAACCGATTCCAGAAAATGTCTGTATATCTCAAATAAACTTTATCCCCCCCCAAAAAAAAAGAATTTAAAAAGAAGCGTTCCAGGTTTACCTCACAGAGATGGCAAGAAGGTAGAAGTAGCCAGAATTACTTCTCTAAATACTTTGCCTGTGTATACAGAAAGAGAGGGAAGGGGTGGGAACCCAAAATCCGACTCAACCTCCACTAAGCATAAAGTTCAGATTTCATTGCTGAGATCATTGCTCTATTCTCAGCACTTTTGCTCTATATGTGTGATTCTGACCGAAACACGTTCTGCAGCTGGAGGGAGCCTTGTCTAAGTGGAATTCTACCAAGCTTTCCCTAGTTACTTCTGTCTACTAAATGCAGACTGATGTTTTGTGAGACGGGGGCCTCACAGAACCAGGCCCAGATTGCTTGAAAAGTATTTCCTGCTGTTGAGTAGTAGGCATGTGAAACAGAGAGAGACAGAGAGAGAGAGAAGAAAATCCCGAAACAGTGCACAATATAACTCTGATTTGAGATACGACCCTGTTCCCTAATTTGTGGCAATTCCCATATTAATGCACACATTCATATGAATTTCATTGGCTCCACCCCCACCCCCGCCATGCCAAACGCAAGCACAATTCTGAAAGCATTTCAGATTTTTGTTTTACTCTCTTGAGCAACAAACAAGCAAATGGCTAGGAAGTTGGCTTCAGCTAATATACTGCAACTCTTCAAAGGCAGTTTTTCTTTAGAGTATCAGGCAAGTAATCACCAGCACAAGAATGAGGCACGAGGAGGAAAGGGCAAGAAAGATGCAAGATGCAGGGAGAGTAAAATACGCAAATAAAAGGAAAAGGCAAAGTTTTGCCAGTGAGCATTTTAACCAATGAGAGGTATGAGAACAGAGAGCCATTTGCATATAAAGGCAACAGTGTGCATAGGGAGAGAGAGATAAACACAAGACATTACCTCTACGGAGAATTCTCCAGAGTGTCAGAGATTCAGGGCTGTGAAAGCATGAGGACAGACTCCATCTTGATCATATTAGAACTCAGCTGACATAAAACACTTGTAACTATGCTTTCCCAGTTTGACAGGGTGCCTGAATCATATCTCTGGAGCAGCCTACAGAATCTACATCCTCTATTCTGTACAGATTTGGTGAAGCTATCTGCTGTTTATCTTTTCTGCTTTCTTCTGCCTCCTCTGAATGATTTCCTCCCAGTTGCTCCAGCCTGGGAACTTGGACTGCCATTTGGTTTTGATTAAAACCAGACAGACAGCTCTGTAAAAATTTGAGAGTAAGCTAATGGAAAGCACTGGCATGGCTTTAATTAGAGTATCAATTAATAATAAATGTTAACTATTCACATAACAAATGCTACCAGAGCTCTTGAGGTAATTTCTAAGGAGCATAATAACTTATGTTATTTTAGGTTGTCGTGTGTGTTTTTTAAAAAACTCAGACCTGCTTTTTTTATAAAAAAAAAATTTAAGCTCTAGCAACAAGAATCAAAGAGGCAAGTTCTCTTAAGGAATGCCAAACAGTATGACAGAGCTGCGTTGGCTGATTTGCTTGTAATTTGGAAGAAGTGCTGATTCTGAGTTTTATTAAGTTTTTGAGGCTACACAAAGTATGCACTCTGTTGACTCACTTACGGTGTACCAAAACTAATTTTATAGGTATTTGGGGGGATAGAAACATAGGAAACTGCCTTATACTGAGTCAGGCACACTGGTCCATCTAATACTGTCTACACGGGTTGGCAGCAGGGTTTCAGACTGGTAGTCACTCTCAACCCTATATGGAGATGTCAGGGGTTGAACCTGTGACCTTCTGCATGCAAAGCTGAGGCATTACCACTGAGCTATGCAGTTACTGATCAAGGCTATGCTTTGGTATTTTATTTAAGCACTCAGCTCAGGTGCCTTTTTTTGTGGCAGTACAGTGGTACCTCGGGTTACATATGCTTCAGGTTACAAACGCTTCAGGTTACAGACTCCACTCACCCAAAAATATTACCTCGGGTTAAGAACTTTGCTTCAGGATGAGAACAGAAATCGTGCAGTGGTGGTGCAGCGGCAGTGGGAGGCCCCATTAGCTAAAGGGGTGCTTCAGGTTGAGACCAGTTTCAGGTTAAGAACAGACCTCCAGAGCGAATGAAGTTCTTAACCCAAGGTACCACGGTATTCACCTCTCTCTTTTGTTTTGCTGCCCATGGCAGCCATTTTGTGCTGGCACCTCAGGGCTTTTATCAATATATGAGCACGATTCCAATCATTCCAGTGCCTTACAGATTCCTGACTGAAAAGTGATACTGGAAAACCCCAATTTTCGTCAAACTAAAAAAACTAAGTGTTTGACTAAACACTTACAACTAACAAAACAAATATAGATATTAAGATGTAACAATTGGAAAATAACCAAGTGTAAGAGTCGATCTGAAAATAATTATAATATAAAAATGACCAGATCAGAACAATATTCAATTTAAAGAATGCATTACTGTATTAAGAGATATTAAAACAAGCAGGAGAAGTTAATATGTAATGAACCAGAAGAGGGAGTTGAGCGAAGTTGTGGGTTGGGGGATGGGAATTGTATTTTTCTTTCTTGCTGAGATAATGTTATTGTGATGAGTAAAAAACTGTTAAATTTAATAAAAATTAATTTAAAAAAGGAAAACCCCAAGTTTTTAGTCCTTGTGAATTTCAACTATTGTGACGACAAGGCCACCTTCTTGAGTTGCTCAGGAACTCGTGGCCACTATGACAACCAAGGAGCTGTTCTAGTTGCCTTCTAGCCCAACACATTCATCAGGGTTCGAGGGGTGATTTGGTGTTTTCTTGTGGTGTTGTTGTTTAGTCATTTAGTCGTGTCCGACTCTTCGTGACCCCATGGACCAGAGCACGCCAGGCTGTTGTGGTAGGAAGAGGATAATCTGTAGAGAAAGCCCTTAATGACTTTATTGCCATAGAGCAAGGATGTGAGGTCTGTGGCCCACCATCTGTTCTTAGATGGCAACTTCCATCATAACTGACATTCACCATACTAGCTGGGGCCTATGAAGTGGAGCTGGAGTCCCAAAACATATGAAGGGCCACAGGTCCCTCACCCCTGTTCTGTGGCAATGAAATCATCAAGGGCTTTCTATAGACAAATTAGGGACGCGGGTGGCGCTGTGGGTAAAACCTCAGTGCCTAGGACTTGCCGATCGTATGGTCGGCGGTTCGAATCCCGTCTTTCGGTCCCAGCTCCTGCCCACCTAGCAGTTTGAAAGCACCCCTAAGTGCAAGTAGATAAATAGGTACCGCTTTATAGCGAGAAGGTAAACGGCATTTCCGTGTGCTGCGCTGGTGCTGGCTCGCCAGAGCAGCTTCTTCACGCTGGCCACGTGACCCGGAAGTGTCTTCGGACAGCGCTAGCTCTCGGCCTCTTAAGTGAGATGAGCCCACAACCCTAGAGTCGGACCATACGGGCAGGGGTACCTTTACCTTTTTATAGACAAATCAATATCTGGTGATGAAGGTTGGATTCAAGAGAGCCTCTTCCTTCTGGATGAGTGAGGAATTGATTAAAATGGCCTGCATTTGAAAGCTGTTGGACTTCCATTGCACCCTTGGCATATTTCCAGCAGACACAATCCACAATAAATTCACTCATCACATTTGTTAAATGCTAAGTGAAAAATTATGTATTTTTCCGTGTATAAGACTATATTTCCCCCCATTTTTTAAAGTTTAAAATTGGGGGTTGTCTTATACCTGAAATGTTACAATTAATTATTTCTTAATTTTGGGCTCAAAAATAGGGGTTGTCTTATACATGGGGGCGTCTTAAACACGGAAAAATACGTTATATAAAGTTGAGTAGGCAAAGGGGACTATAGGAAGTCAGATAACTGGTCCATTAAGTTCAGTATTGGTTTGTTCTCCAGTGTATCAGACAGGAGTCATTGCCAGACCTATCTGGAAATGCTAGAGATCAAACCAGAGAACATCTGAATGCAAAGCAAATGCCTTACTGAACTACAGGCCCTCCCACAAGTGATCACTAGGAAGATGGTCAGAACCAAGCCTTATGAGGAATGGTTGAGGGAGCTGGGTATGTTTAGCCTGGAAAAAAGGAGACTGAGAGGATACATGATAGCCACCTTCAAATATCTCAAGGGCTGTCACATGGAAGAGGGAACAAGCTTGTTCTCTCCTGCTCTGGAGGGTAGGACTCAAACCAATGGCTTCAAGTTGCAAGTAAACATCAGGAAAAACTTTCTGACAGTAAGAGCTGTTAGACAGTGGAATGGTATCCCTTGGGAGGTTGTGAACTTTCCTTCCTTGCACATTTTTAAGCAGAGGTTGGATGGCCATCCGTCATGGATGCTTCAGCTGAAATTCCTACAATTCTATGATTCTAGCCCATTCCTTTTCAAACTGTAGATTTTACTGCAATGACCTGGTGTAACAAAAATGTTTTTGGTATTCTTTTGTATATGGAAGAAGATGTCAAACACAAGGCCAGTAGCTTAATATTGAGTGGAAAAACAAGTCTAAACTTTCAAACAATAGGCGCAGTGAGGCTGCAGATACTGTTTCAAAGAAACTTGTAACCTTATGTGGTCTCCCCTTTTTGATACGCAACTCCAGTAGAAAAAGCCACATGATATTTATAGCACGCCACATTATTATATTAATCCTGGAGCTAAGAGTGTGAACCTGAAAACAGTAGATAATTGGCTCAGCCTCTCTTCTAAAAACATACCAAGTCAAGGAGTACTATTTTGCCTTTACAAATGAAATGAAGATGTGTCTTCAGAGATTTCCCCTGGAATGCTTTAGAAATGATCAGCTGGGCAAGATAAGATTATTTCAAATATCACTAATATTTGTTCAAAGGCTGGTGGGGTCAAGTGATCAGAACCAATGTGGGGTGTGTGTCACAGAGCCTGTCAGTCAGTAAGTCCCACAGCTCAAAGTTGGAGTTAACTCTTTATTGGCAAAAACACAGACTTGGCTGAGTGTCAGGCCTAATGAGCACAAGAGCTCATTCCCGGTGTGTCTTACACCATGAGTTGCTGAGACAAAAGGTCCCCACCTTCCCAAAGTTCTCTATGTCTCCTCCTCTCCAGGGCATCTTCCAAGCAATCAGAGACTGTGCCTGCTTGCAGCCAATCTCTCCTCTGCCCTTTTCATGCCTCTCCTGGTTCTGGCAGCCGGGGGAGAGGGGAGTTGTTGCAGCAGGAGGGGAAGACCCCTGTGACACCAGCCTGTATCTCGACCTGCCTCCTCCTACTTGCCAGCTTCAGATTATTGACTCCCCTCTGCCATAGACTCTTCCAGCTCACAAAGCCCTGTTACCCTTCTCAGTTTCTGACACTTCCTCTTCCCACTCTTCTCCTTCTGACCACTCGTCGTTGTCCCACTACCACTCTCCTGGCTCTGAGCCTTCTGCCCTTCCTTGGTGGGTCCCCAGCTGGTTCCTCTCACCATTCCTCTGCATCCATAACAGGGGGAAGGGCAGGTGAATCCAAATGGATACCATGGCAGCATCTTTCAGCAAGAAGCTTAGTAGGATATCACATGCTTACAAACAGAAGGTTCAGGGCTTGACACACAGGTCTTCTAGCTTGACCCCCCACGACATCTGAGAAGCACTATGAGAAGTCAAGTTGGCAATGTGAAATCAGTAGCAGCTAGTGCGGTAGGACAGAGTCATGGAGCTGCCTTCTAAACACCATCAGTGCTACAGCTTACCTGGGAGGAGGGCGATGGCAAGGTCAGAGCTTCCCAGAGCCTGGGACTCACAGTTGTCCATGGAGGCACAGGTCAATTCTGTGTCCACGGCAGTTGTCTACCAGCTCTGTTTGGTATGCAGGCTGAGACCCTACCTGCCCATGGACTCTCTCGCCAGTGGTGCATGCTCTAGTTATCTTCCGCCTGGACTACTGCAATGCACTCTATGTAGGGCTACCTTTGAAGGTGACCCAGAAACTACAAGTAATCCAGAATGGGGCAGCTAGACTGGTGACTGGGAGTGGCCACCGAGACCACATAACACCGGTCCTGAAGGACCTACATTGGCTCCCAGTACATTTCCAAGCACAATTCAAAGTGCTGGTGCTGACCTTTAAAGCTCTAAACAGCCTTGGCCCAGTATACCTGAAGGAGCATCTCCACCCCCATCATTCTTCCAGGACACTGAGGTCCAGCTCCAAGGGCCTTCTGGCAGTTTCCTCACTGTAAGAAGTGAAGCTACAGGGAACCAGGCAGAAGGCCTTCTTGGTGGTGGCTCCCACCCTGTGGAATGCCCTCCCACCAGATGTCAAGGAAATAAACAACTACCTGACTTTTAGAAAACATCTGAAGGCAGACCTGTTTAGGGAAGTTTTTAATGTTTGATGTTTTATCGTATTTTTAATATTCTATTGGAAGCCGCCCAGAGTGGCCAGGATATAAATATATCATCATCATCATCATAGACACACTGGCTGCTGCCCTGGCCCACCCCAGTCCCATCCAGCTAAGCTTCTGTGATGCTGGTGTCTGGGGAAAATGCATGGTTCTGCCCCAGCATTTTGGCCCCTCCTGCATGGATTGTAGCCCACAAGTTATTTCATTCTATTTTCCAATATCACTTTAAGTGCTTTAAAGGCAAACACTAATTTTCTTGTTCTTAAAGATCTGCACATCTCTCTGAGGTGTACCTGGTCCCATTATTATATGCTTTTCAATAACTTTTTGGGGGTGGAAGATGGAAATGAAATGAGCATACAATCTCCTGCCCCCACATACTGAGGAACTGCTGTTCTTGATTGCCATTTTAATTCATGGGTTTTATATTGTGGTTTTAATGGATGTTTTATATTATGTTTAAAAT